AAATATTTGTCGGTAATGAAAAGAGAATTTTTCATAAATTTTATACAAAATTAGATATATTTCCTCTCATTCTCCTCCTTTTCCTCCTCCTCCTCCTCCTCATACAGAAAATATCGCCCACTTGAAACCAGCCTTAGCGAAATGGACAGAAGAGAATCTAAGCGTGCTTACGGACGGAAATTTCATGCACTCTCCAACTATACGATTAAGTTTGAATTTTTGGGTTGCAATTAATCTTCTCGCTTATTATAACGTGTACGGCATCGATATGAAATTATTGCCACCCATTGAGGCGGGCGCCATTCCAAATCTGTTTGTCGAAATATCGAATGAAAATCCTTCGTTGTTGACGACTGCAGCTCTCTGTGCAGAGGGAATCGACGAAAGTTTATACAATAATTTCCTATCGTTTCTATGTAGGAGAGGTGGTGTGAAAGGTCAATTCATTATTTTTCGAAGCAAACACCTGACGTTCAGTCATATTTCTGTTAAGGAGATTGAAGCATTTGGACAGTATCTAAGACCTTCCAATATCAATAATACTAACATACTTTTGCACAAGCCAACATGGTCATCTAGCAGCCAGGAAATCCAAACCGAGAGTTTCGGGGCGACAGACGGATCCTATAGGTCTTATTATCTGTCGACCAACCACAACCATCCTTGGCTTAGGGTGGATATGCTTAAAACTTATAAAGTTTTTACGATAGCCATACAAAATAGAGATCCTCTTTGTAAGTAAAATAACGGCGTAAATTTATCAATTGGTTCTTTCCGCCAATAAAACTTTCTTCCTTTCAACTATTATTTAATAGCTGAAAATAGAAATCTTAAAATAATCGGATTAATATCGGATTATCAGCATTTCAACATTCACCAGAGTGATATGTATTCCAAAAAGTGCTTTGAAAATCAACACCCATTCGAGAGTGGTGAATACAGAGCTTGGAATTGTATGCATCCAACTCCTGTTGGTCGATACGCCATTGTCTATTTACCTTTACAAGAATCTTTCTCCATTTTTCAAATGGAAGCATACGGAGAAGAAATTGCTAATGATGATCTCTCTCCTCTCCCAATAATCAAAGCTGATAGAAATTCAGACAACGGTAGCTTTGACGATAGAGACGCCGAACAGCAGTATTCTATTAAAGCTGTCGATCAATTGCCGTTCAACGTTGATTGGCAACAAGTCTATTTCTCATGTACTGGAAACTTTAAGGATAACCATCAGGAAGGAAGATTTACTATCTATCTAGATAATGTCTACCTTGTTCGACAGATTGTTCTTCTCTCCCTCCTTCCATTCAATACAAGTAAAATAGTAAATTTTTTTCTCTGATTAGCCTGTTTTCTCTACTGTTATTTTCTCCTTTAAAAGACAACTTTGAAGATGTACAAATTGCAGTTGAAAACTCATTTATGCAACCGCAAAGGCAATTTTGCCATCTAGCAACAACGGTAAGAAGAGAGCATGAATTATACAATTGTAGTTTAATTGGTGATAGAATATCCTTTTACAAAATCGATGGAACAAACAAGATACGTCTGTGCGAAGTTTACGTTCTTGGTAAAAAGCAAGCCTACAATTCGGTCGGTATGTACTGCATACTGTAGAAAATTCTGTTATATTGTCATGGTTAATTGTTGCCTTTTCCTCTCTCTCTCTCTCTCTCTCTCTCCCTCTTAGATTTGGGCACTGTAGAAAATGCAACAATGATATTCTCAATGGAAGGGTCTACACCTCATATGAATTCATTTTGTGATTATAGCACAAATGAACTTTTCTTCCAATTGAAAGTTTATCATAAATTGAACGGTGTCGGCTTTACACTAATGGAAACAAAGAGTTTTACATCCGACAAAGGTCTTCAGATTTTTGGTATTAATGAAAAACAAGAGTATATTCTCTGCTCGCAATTTCGAAATCTTTTGAAAATTACCTCTCCAACACCATTTACATTTCCCTGTTCAAGTGAAATCATAGCGAAATATGTGAGAATCTTCTCGTCTAGCGGATCCTTCAGAGCTTGCAATTATTATGTAATAAGTAAACAAGTGGTGAATAATCTTATAGGTTAGATTAATGACAATTTTTCAACTTTCTCACCTCTTTTCTCCTCTACATGTACTGTATTTTAATAAATACTGTCGCATTATATACAGTTAACTATCGACTGGAACAAGGAGCCTCGTCAATTATTCCATCTCTTATCTATGCAACAGAAACTAATCTCAGCCTTCTCGACTGCTACAAATCCTGTATAAAAGATGACAAATGCGAATCTTTCGCTTATTCAACAGAATCCAAGGCCTGCATGTCCAGCAAATTTGAAATTCTATCAGAAGCTAGAGATCATTTAACAACGTCCACTAGCCTTTCTTATAGCGTAATGTATAAAAAATACGTTGTTCTGTCGCTCGTCTGCAATGGAAACTGATAAGAAGCAAATAGACAAAGTTGTTATGCACTATACAATATCTACCATATCATTTAAATAATTTAATAAAGTCAACCGTAAAAATTGACTAGTTTCTATTCTGTTCAGGATGAATTGACTACTTTCCGATCCGTTATCCATGCTTCTATCACTTTATATACCATTGATTAGAATGTTGCGAGTCGTAAATATAGGTCAGTGACTGTAGACTGATAGCCTACAATTTCCATTATCCAACTTAAAGGTTATAAAGAAGAAGTTGTTGAATTTAATTTCCACCTTTCTCTTTTTACCAATAATTCATTCTGATTGAAATTGTGACAGAGCTGTAGTCACGTGACAACGACTATTTTAACGTGGCTACCGCAACGAAAGAGAAAAGTGTAAGCCTCTTATATAAGAAGCAAAGCTTTGTGCGGATGACCTATGTAGACTAATCTCTGTTCACCTTAAATTCATTCATTCAAGTAGCTTAAAGGTTAAAAAGAGATTGAATCTTATTGTTACTTTCCGTCTACCTTTACAGCGGTGAAACAGTTGATAATTGACTTTTGAAAGTAGAATATGTCTAGTTGGCTAGTACTGCTAACTTTGCATTGCCTCCTAACAAGTTGTGCACTTTCAGGTTTGTATAAAGCTATATTTCAGCTTTGCGAATCTTGTTCATAAAACCAATTTTTACACAAACTTTCCCCCCCTCTCTCTCTCTCTCTCTCTCCCTCTCCCTCTCCCCTTACAATTGCGTAGAAGAGCTATGTTCAAGTGAAGATGACTGTTCAGAATTTGAAAACTGCGTATTGGGTTATTGCAAGTGCAATTTGGATTATGGAGTGACTGCTTGCTCGAACTGTAAGGAAAGAATACTAGATTCTATTATATCAATATATTTGTTATTAATACGTTCCAATTTAGCCAAAGATCTGATACTGAAAAGGTATAAAGAACCAAATGCGTATGCTGTTATTCGCACTTTTCAACACAAATCATTTGACGAATGCCTTAGAACTTGTCTCATTTCGGAAAGCTCCCTATGCGTTGGAATTTTAGTAAAAGACAACTTTAACTGCAGCATTCTCTCTTCAATTGTATTTCCTTTAATAGACCTTGATTCCGATACGTTGGTTATTAGAAAAGGTAGATAAGCAACAGTAAAATCATTCATGCATTCATTACTTCGTTCGTTCGTCCGTTCAATCAATCAGCCCTTTATTCATTCCTAACTCTAACAAATACTTAGATAAAAGAGCTGGAGTTTGCGGTGCTAACGATAATGTACAACCAACTCTCAACTATTGTTTCATATTCCTATGGAATTTGGCTGGCTGCCCAAATAAACAATTTGATCCTACGCAACATGAAAAGTCAATGACTATTAGGGAGTTCAGCCAATACGCAGAAACGGTATACACGAATAGCAGCAAAAGATCGGCTCAAGACGGAAATGGCAATTATTATAGAACACTCTGTTTCGGTTCAAGAAGTTTCAATCATCAAAATGCAGCGTTTGGCAGGCAAGTTTTATATTTGGGCGGATTCACCGACCCGAAAGATCATCCAAATCACGCGGTAGACGGTCTACGTCACAGCAATACATCACTAGGAGCGTGCTCTTTGCTAAATTCGCCTAGTGGATTGAATGAAGTATACATTAGCGTACGGCTTATTGGAATTCATTCTGTAAACAAAGTTGTCATTTGGCCAACTAATCATCCAAGTATATAAATGAAATATTTGTCAATATAATACAAATGAACACAAACATTTTAGCCAATCAACTATTTAACATTTATACATTGCCTTACTCTCATACGTGTCGAAACAACGTTCTACTTGAATACGATGATACGTCATCGTCACCACCGCCATCAACAAAAGTGTTTTGCGAAAATCCTCGACCTGAGAAGAATCCTAGAGTTACGTTTTACCAAATTTCGCAAATCAAACAAATTCACCTTTGCGAAATAGAGATATTTTCTGGTAAAAAAAATTTCCCCTTTTCTTTCCATCAAACATTACTTTAACTTGTAGTAAAACCTTATTGTTGTTTTTTTAAGATAATAACCATAACCTAAAAATGTTTACAGCCAATATTGCTTTTAACAAACCAGTCGGTTGTAGATATGCATTAGAACCGCCGGAAATGGTTAATGACGGAGACTTGAACACCAAGTCGATTATTGAAATTGGAAAATCTTACTGGCTGTCAATTAATCTGCTCGCCTACTATACAATCTACGGTTTAGACTGTAAATTTAATTTCACATACTTGAATCTGCCAACAGAGATCACCGTTGGAATATCGACACAAAATCCTTCGATTGCCTTTAATCCCTTGGAAAATAGTTTCTGCGCCGAAATCAATTCATATAGTTCTGTCGGAGACGATCTGTTTAGATCGTTATTATGCCCGAAAGGTGGCGTCGATGGTCAATTTGTTAACTTTTACTCCACTTCTACTGAACCTCAGTTGGTTGATATTTATGAAATTGAAATATTTGGCCTATATTTGAGATCTTTGTATCTAAAAGAAAGGAATTTACTGTTGAATAAACCGGCATGGTCGTCTTCCTCGGTAGCAGTTGGCGAATCGTCTTCTTTTATAACGGATGGAGTATATACTTTACCATACAAATCGATTAAAGAGAGTAATCCCTGGTCAAGAATTGATATGTTTAAAACCTATAGAATACTCTTTATCGCCATTGTAAGCGATCTTCGCCCATGTAAATAATATTCGAATAATAATTCCTATAATGTCATCATACGCTTGCTTTCTAACCCTAACCCTTTCATTTAGATCACAAGAAACTGAATAGCGTCAGCGGACTCGTTACGAACAATCGTGGTTTCGATATTAACCAGAAAGAATTATTTAGTCAAGTATGCTTTACAAACACTGAAAACTTTCTAAGTGGCGAATATAGAGGTTGGACATGCGACCAACCGCTTCCGGTTGGACGCTACGTTGTTGTTTATTTACCTATCTCCGTTGGCACTCTTATAGTTCGAGAAATTGAGGCCTATGGAGAGGAAGTTGGTGACGATGATAATTTCTCTCCTTTACCAATCCTTAAAGCCGATAGATATAGCAAAAATATTGACTATATTAGCTCTGCAAACAACCAAGATTTGTTTCCTCTGAAAGCCATCGACGGCTCATCCTCTAATCTCATCTTTCAATCTAATTTTATTTCGTGTAGTGAATTTTTAACGATTGAAAATGTCGAAGCTAGATTTACTGTTTATCTTAATGATACTTACCTTATTTATCAAATAGGCGTTCTTCTTCCTTCCAACAGCGGTAATTATTGCCTGACAAACAACAAATCATTGAAGTTACTAAACTAACATGTCTTTTTCTTTTCTATTTTGGATTATTATCACCCAAAATCATCATCTTCATCATTATCGTCTTCTTCTTCTTCTCCTTCTTCGTCATTAGCATATTTTAAAGGAGTTCAAATATCGGTAGAAAATTCAGCTATGCAATTCCATCGGCAAATTTGCGATTATGAAGTGGCTGCAATGGCAACATACCTTCTATACGATTGCAAATTGATTGGCGATCAAGTGTCCTTTTATAAAATTAGCGGCAATTATATATTACACATATGCGAAATTTACGTTCTGGGCAATGAAAAAGTCTACATTTCAAACGGTTTGAATAGATGATTTTGTTGTTTTTTTGTTTGTTCTCCGTTTATTCATCCCCAATCCCTTAACTTACTAAACCATTGATAGATCACAACACAAACAACCTTATGATTTTGATTGAGGAGATAGTAGCAAGAAAAATATTTTCTGCCTTATCCAAATTAACGTCTGTGCCCTTTTTTCTTTCTCCGCAATTAGATAACGACAGCGTCGAAATGGCGAAAGTGGTTTACAAAATCACCTCCAACAATCAATCCCAACTACTCAGCAACGACGTTTGCGTCTTTTCTACAAAAGAAATCTACTTTCAACTACCAGTTTATCGTAAATTTATTGCAGTTGGATTTACAGTTGGGCAGACGGCCGACTTTGCAACTGGTCTAAATATTTTTGGCATGCACCATAAAGGAAATATATTGTGTATTAGCTTTAGAAACGTCATTGCGGTCGCCTCACCTTCCACTTTCACTTTTAACTGTTCAACAGAAATAGTTGCGAAATACGTGGCAATCTACTCGAGCAACGAATATTTGAAAGCCTGCAACTATTACGTAATAGCTAAGCAGGCGAAAGTCGATATTCTAGGTACATATAGTAAAATACAGTATACTAAATATGTATAACTATGAATTGTATAATATCTACTCTTTGTATTGAATAGCATTCAATCGGATGGAGAAAATGAATAGGCGGATAAAGACCAATCTACTATATTTCGCCATAAACAACGTAGGCTTTTTGGAATGCTATTATTCTTGTATAGAAGACAACGAATGTGAAAGTATGATGTATTCAACTACAGAAGAAAGATGTCATTTTTCCCGTTTTCGAATGTTGCACAATGTATCATCTCAATTAACTGAAAATACAATGAACGATATTTTCTATATATTGTACACGTACGAAATAGATTTCTCAACTCATTGTTCCCCCATCTAAATGATGAAAAAACATTGCCACTTTTCAATATTCAATCATGTTTGTTTGTTTGTATTGTGTTCAAAAATATTTTATCAATCAATAATACAAACAACTTGCATGTATCTTTTCCATATTTTTCAAATGGTTAAACATCTCTAGCCGTTGATTTTCACTCAATGAACACCTTGTATATTTCAACATTTTCAAGCATTTCGACGAACTCATCAATCCATTTAATATCGCTTCTAATTCTAAATTAATATTCACGCCAATCAAATTAACTTGTTCTAAACAGGTGCAAGCTGCCAATAAGTCGCTCAAATGTCTCAAATTTTCAATCGTTAGTCCGCATCCCTCAAAAGAAATAGTCGAAAGTGACAAACACGAACGTCTGAGGCCTTGGCACACTAACCTAAATCCTTCGCCAAAATTACCGTTCATACTTAAATTGACTCGTTGCAACGACTGGCATTCGTTAAAGAGATTACCCAACCAATAGTCTTTTTCTCCGCTAAGCCGACAACCCTTTAAACTAACAATTGAGAGAGAATAACGAGAATTTTTCAATCCGTTGCATATCATCTCAAATCCTTTGCCGAGATTATCGTTTTCGCTCAAGTTAATTTCGCTTAATGAATTACACTCGAATAGGAAATTGCCCAACCAACAGCTCTGCTCCCCGCTCAAATTGCAACCTTCAAAATCAACACTTGTAAGAGAATGAGCCGACGATATCAATCCCATACATATTCTCTGGAATCCCATATCAAACTGTTCGTTAGAGCTTAGGTGTATCCGTTGCAACATTATACATTCCACCAACAGATTGCCTAACCAAACACTTTGGTCTCTGCTCAATTCGCATTTATACAACGAAATGTTCAACAGAGAACGACACGAAGATTTCAAACCAAAACATATCTTCTCGAATCCCAATTTCCAGACTGGATTCCTATCTAGAAAGACGGTTTGTAGCGAGTCGCATCGCTTCAAGAGTTCACTCAACCAAACGCATTGTTCTGCACTTAAGCTACAATCCGAAAAATCGACAGTCAACAGGCGATGCGCCGACGATCTTAGGCCCTGACTTATATTCCTAATTCCTTCTCCGCAGTTCCTATTCTCCGCCATAAAAAAGTCTTCCAGCGAAGAGCATTCGTTTAGAAACTCTCCTAGCCAAATGCATTGCTGTTCGGAAAAATCGCAATTAGACAAGTTGATCCGTTGAAGACAATGAGCGGACGACTTTAATCCTTCGCATATCTTTCGGAACGACTTTCCCCATTCTCCATTACTAGACAAATCCACAGAACGTAAGGCAGTGCACTGCTCAAAAAAGTTCCCCAACGCCAAGCAACTTTCATTTTCCCACAGATTCATCGAACTGAGGTCGATCTTCAACAAGGAATTGCCAAAGGCAGTCAAACGACTCAGCACTTGCCCAATCATGTACGGTGACATTTCATTATTATTAAACTTGCAATCCTGCAATGAATGGCATTCCGCCAACAAATCACAAAGCCACGAACACTGCAATTCGGTATGGAGACATTGGTCACAGTTAATGGCGGATAGTGTACGACTAGACGACGATTGTAATCCATTGCAAATCATCCGAAACCCCCTACCGAGATTGATGTTGCCGAAAAGATTAATTTCGGTTAAGCTGTCGCACTTCCTTAAAAAATCGCCGAACGACGAGCACTGTTCTTCGACTAGGTTGCAAAATGAAAAGTCAAGTGTCCTTAACGATTCGGACGACTGCCTTAAACCGTTGAATATTTCTGCAAATCCATCTCTCAACTCTCTATTCGCTCTGATGTTAACCGCTCTCAACTTGGTGCAAACTTTGAATAAATTTCCCAAGAAATAGCCGTGTTGACGCGTTAAACAACAGTTGGAAAAGTTGATTTCCAACAGGGAATTAGCGGACGACTTTAATCCATTGCAAATGTATTGAAAACTATAATCCATATTGTCATTGCTTGTCATAGCGAACGACTGTATGGAATGGCAGTTGGATAACAACGTACCTAATCGCTTACATTCCTCCTTTCCAAATAGGCAGCGTTCAAATTTCAAACTTTTTATTGATAAAGGTATCGGTAGATTGAACATTGAATGAAAGTTAATTAATGACAAACTCTCAATTGAACAGTTATTTAGAAAACGGAAGTCCTCAATTCCATTGAATTTACGTTTTTTCAAAGAAATGTGGTCCAATTGAAAAAAACAAACATTTTCAAAGAAAACCAACTGTTTCTCGACGAATGGTTTTTGCCCATTTATCGCAAATTGAAATATTTCAGATGCAAGATAACTTGGTATATATAAGGAATTCTTTTCACGTAACCCATTCAACAAATGTAGACTTTCTCCTACACAATTCAATGCCAACAGCTTTAAAGAACTTACAGTCATTTCAAACAATTGACAACAATACCAACATTCAAATATCTCAACCAGTAAATGTACTTGATACTATCTTATCGTTGTCCCGCGGAAGGGACAGTGTCCAAAATTTTGGAATTCTATTTGATAATATGACGAAAATTTTTGTCCAATGTTTACGTTTCTAACTTTTCCACACCAGTTAGGCTTGGGATAAAATCAGAAAAAGGCCACCACAGTCGGTTCTCGTTAGATTCGGGAAAGTACCTCGACGCCAACAGAGAAAACTATTAATGTTTGCTTAGTATCGCTCAGAGAGAGAGAGAGAGAGAGAGAGAGAGTCTGAATTGAATGGAAACATAGAGAATAGAGATAGTTTACTCGTAATTTAGAAGGCCTAGAAACAAATGAAATTATATTAGATAATTCTATTATTAAAAGCCATGATCCTGAATTGGGAATTCTGAATTCTCCTTGAAGAGAATTCTCGTTTCCTGAACAAAACTATCTTGAAACTTTCCTATGTGATAGGAAGAAGAGAACGATCTAACCCTATATCATCACCAGTTGGCGTCTCTTCAAAGCACAACAATAAACAGGAAGCGCGCATTTGTTGAATTTATTGAGCGGGAATGATAAGAATTGAATGAAAATAATTAAAAGTCTTACACTGAGAAAAGAGTAGCAGCAAAAACATAGACTTTTTCTCCAGTCAACATTCACTTAAAGAAGATAATCAACGATAAAACAAGAAATGTTTGTCAGTTCAACAGCGCTGAAAGAGTTTCAATTAAACAGTTGTTTGTGCACCTTGCATAATAGATTGATAAGGAGGCGGCGGAGATTCTTCACCTCTAACGTTTGTCATCCGAATGCAGTCTTCGTATCGTGGTGCTGGTATTATTGGGTGCATTGAACTACGTCCTGCAGCGTATCCCTCGTCCCTACTTTACGAGAATAGAATAGAATGGAATAGATTAAGAAAAAACTGAAACAAACGATATACCTGTCTTGCATTTCGTACTGTTCCGATAATCTTTCGATAGTTCTGCCCGGCCAAAAGTAATACGAGTATTTTGTTAAGATTGATGATTGGCGGCGAAGAGAGAAGAAGAAGAAGAAGACAAATTAATTAAAAAAGAAAACAACAAGAGAAAGAAAGAAAAGAGTATACGTGTTTGTTTGTTTGTTTGTTTGTTTGTTTTTGTTTACCTTTCGTTGCCTGAATGATGAGGATTTGATCTAATTGAGATAACTAAAATATCAGCGTTTGGCGAATTTCTTTGGCGTAATTCTTGACAAACTCTAGAAACTTTACAATAATAAATAAATAGGACAATTAGCTGAAAAGCAGCGATTGCCGGATAAAACGTCACATATTTTAGGATATGGAGGTGAGGCAGAAATTCAGTCAAGCGATTTGTTCTATCAACATATATACTGGCTATTATCAATGATAATAGTTGGAGTGAAAGGCACAGATATATACAATATTTTGTTATTGTACTATATCTTTCAACATTTAAAAGTTGCTTCAACACAAGAATTCCCGATATGAGAAGAACAAAATTACTAAATACCATTACGACAAGCCATACTGAACATAGTTTGAACAGGTTCCTATAAAAAAATTCATGAAATTTCGCCTGAAAAATTTGCTCATTCTATTCAAATAACAAAACACTCACATTCCATTTTCATCTACAACCTCCGCTTCCTTACTTACGTTCATCGCAATCTCTCTTGCCTGACGCTTTGCCTGCCCGTATTCAGCCATCCACAATGGGCCAACCAGTAAATTTATTAACACTAGTGGATAGAACAACACCATCAATAACACGCTTTTCAGCATATTCCAGTTTGTGGTGTGTTTTGTTTGTTTGTTTGTTTGTTTGTTTGTTTGTTCGTTCTCTGAGGGAGAAAAGAAAAAAGGATAGATTAGCGCTAATTTGTAGTAATCCTTCCTCTTATCCTTTTAAACGTGTAAAAAACAACTATTGTACTTTGATTGATGTTTTATACTGAGCTATAGGCCTAGTTTTTTTGCGTTATCTCTAATCAATTCAATTGATAATTTGTTATCAAGTAACAATTATTAATAAATTTTTAATCATCTGCCGACAAGATCGAATTTCTCTGAATTATAGCTGAGCAGATATCTAAATAGAACTATTCAAACTATGCGTGTACTCATTTCGTACGAAATTCTTTTGCGATTGCAGTTAAAAACGGGAATGTTGCCTTTTTAAAAGGCAACAAAACTTGTTGTATGTAGGTGGACGAGTATTCGTTACTCACTAATGAAGATATTTAAATCCAACCACAGTTCTATATACAGCTAATTAAACTCTGTAGCGTCTCTATTATCCTGAAAAGTCATCGTAGATGATTAATTATATTTCAATGAATCAATCGGACAAACACACACAGTACTCGTATTATTTCTTTTGCGTTTTTCGTTAGTTTTTCAAATGAAAACATTGGATTGGAAATACCATTTTTCCAATTGCCTAGTGCTGCTGGTCTTTTCCTTATTCTCATCATCCAACGGAGCGGAATGTTATACGACAGGATCGAATTTTTCTGTTAAATATCTTGACCAAACAAACGTAACTTATTCAATTGAATCTGTAGAGGAGGATGAACATTGGATTTATGGACAAATATACCTAACAATTACAGCAACAAACCAAACGAAATACGTTGCCTATAGTAGGATCATGTCGAAATTTCATCACAAGACACTATGCAGACTACTCGGATACGATGATATTCATTTTATTGCCGAAGCGTGCGAACCTTTGAAAAGTCGTGCCTTTTGTTATTTCTCTTCTTCCACTATATCTATAATTATTTCTTCAAAATAGATAATCCAGAGTTGATAGCGCAATATAACGGAATCAGACGAGACGTGTTTCTGTAAAGAATTTTCTTCTATTAAACTATTTCACCTTATTGTTTCGTTTAAAATAGGGTTAACATTGTTAGAAGCCTTTATACAGCGGCGTCACTTTGTTTAAAATGCTTTAAAAGCCAAACTGCTTGTACGAAATATTTTTCTTTACCAATTAAACCCTTGTTACTTTCCGCTTTAATTCGTTATCTTTACAGTTCTATTCGCCCTTGAACACACTGACCGCAATCTTTACATAATGTTTGCTAGAGTGTCGAGAAAAACCTACATGGTCATTAAAAAGCTGCGTGAGAAAGTTGAAATTTGCGACAAGACGCAATTCTATGATAAATTCAATGGCGAAATGACAATTGAAAAAGAATTGTACGCCATTGATTTTCTTGATGATTCCATGAAATTGCAACAAATTCATGAGCAAGATCAACCGAATTTTGAAGCAATTTTTTGTAATAAAACTCAATTGAAAGGTAGTTTTTTCAATTCAAACCTAAATGGAGAAATCATTAAACGTTTACAAGTATTTTTCTCCCTCTCTCTCTCTCTCTCTCTTCTTAGATTTTTCCTTGAAGAAAATGAATAAGTTTCAAGAGAAAATCGTATTTGAGCAACAATTAAATGAAACTTTTGCGTTCATGATCATTTCAAAGACCTATGGACATATTCCCCTTCTGTTCGACGGCATATATATTGCAATTCAGATAAAGAAAATACTGTGCGCAATTGATGGAGGACAAATCAGTCTACTGTCGGAGATTTCTATTGCTGAATTTGAGATTCCCTTTGTTAGAGTTACGGTTAGAGAGTGGTTAGAGATTTTGGAGATTTTTAATCCTCCCTCTCCCACTCTCTTCCCTCTCCTAACCCTAATTTTTTAAAAAATATATTACTCCTATTTTCATTGTCCTATTTTTCTTTCAACTAGATGAGAAATTGCCCATACTTTAATTATTACTTTGATAAAGGAAACACTCCCGTTTATTCTAAATGTAAACGTGACGCCCGACAATTTGACGATTGTCAACTGGCTGACAAACACGAACAAATCAATGTAGCTTTTTCAGTGGTGTGTATAAGAAAAGAAGATATTCAAAGTCTATGTTCCTTAAATAATCAACCATTGCTAAACTTGTAGCAATGTCTACTATGTCGTCATTAAACCTGTCTCTCTACTCAATCATTTCAGATTATGACATGTTTCTCTACTCAAATGGCCAAGACTATTTAAGAGTAAATGCCAAAAATAATTCAAAATATGACGTATTTAGCGGCAACGTATACATGTTCTATAATGATAATTGGTACCATACAAACCTGGTAAACTGGACAAGTGACGAAACTATGACTGTTTGTAGAGCATTCGGCTTTAAGAGTGGTACACTGAAATTTACGAAACATTTCGCTCCCAATGTGATACTTTTAAGAGACAAGAAATTTTCCCTTAAGTGCACCAATTCCTTTAATCTTTCTCATTGTAATATTACAATTTTGAAAGAGAAAGACAAGTAAGAGAGCACACTAATTAGATAACTATATAATCCAGTAGATTATTTCTCTCTCTCTCTCTTCAGGTTATCGTTTGGATTTCAAAGTGCACTTACAAATTACATTTTAGAATGTAGAATCAACGAAGGTTAAGAGATTTTACAGTACTATTTAGAAGATTAATGATTATTTGACAAACAAAACTAGATGTTACATGCATAGAAACGAAATATTATAGTTTCGAAGACTACTGCTTTAAAAAGATGGAAACGAAAAAGAAAATCTCTATTGATTCAGCTCTAAATGAATGTAAGAAAGCTAATGCGTCTTTGTTCTACGTCTCCAATTCGGTATTTGATTTTTTGATGGAAATATCTGGTGACGAAAAAGACAAAAGGAACTTGCCCGGAAGTATAACTATATAATTGATATCAATTACATCAACGTAACTATTTACCGTTAATCAATTTGTTCAGAAATCTACACGACAACCGATACGAAAGGAAGAGATTATCTTACTTTCGTAGACAAGGTTCCATACAAATTTCACGGTTTTACAATTCAATTCAAATCAAAGTAAATAAACAAGCAAACCATTAAAAGTAAAAATTGTCTGTCCGCCTGCTCTCCTATTAGATTTTACTCGACATGTTCACTTTCCATTTCGACTAAATATCTCAATAGCTACTTTGAGTTTAACAACAAAAACAAATGCTTTTATATGGAAGAAATGAAATATGGATTTTCTCCGCGTTACACCGTCAACGAGTTCTATTGCGATAAAAGATTTCTAGATAAATTCTACTGTAGACGTCCAAGTTTGTATTATACTTTATACTTTCTATTTGCAATCTTCACGAACGGCAGTGTCTGCCCTCTTTGAAAAATGTAGTTGCTTATTATTTCCTTTCCACTTTATTAAGGTTATATCACTGTCTCTCTATCGAAGGAATTGGAGAACAGTGGCAATTTTTCCAGCTGTCCTCATGGATTTTTCCGTTGTGTTGAAGATGATTTATGCATCAATTCCATCAATATTTGCGACGGACAAGACGACTGTTTTTCAGGCGAAGATGAAAGAAACTGTTCAACCGTTCAAGAATTCCATTGCAGTTCCAATCAAAAAATTTCAGTTCAGTTTGTCTGCGATTTTGTTTACGATTGCCGCAACAAACTAGACGAAGTAAACTGCGGTAATAGAAAACAAAAACACTGTAAACTCTATATATACAGTATAGCGAGTGTTATTTCAGATACGCCATTATGCAATAAGGAAAACTCGTAAATAATTTCCAAACCAATCAATCATATAAGAAATTACAGTAATAAGAATAAAGAATAATAATTAAATGACACACTTTTTTGCAGTTGCGACAATAGACAATGTATTGAAGAAAAATACTTTTGCGACGATGAAAAGCATTGTTTCGATGACAGTGATGAAAAATGCAACCTTGGCTATTCAACAATCAACGAAACAATGTTTACAAATGATTATGTGGAAAAGAGACGTTTGTTGAATTTTCAATACTTTTTGTGTTTTTGTACACATTCATTCGTCGCCATTTCTTAGAATGTCAACAGTATAATAAAATACCATGCGACAATAAATGCATCTCTGAAGATGATCAGTGCAACCTACAACCGGATTGTTTTGACGGAAGCGATGAAACACAGAAAGTTTGCGATAATAAAGTTTTCAACGTCTCGCGATGTGGTCAACTAAAAGATATAATGAAATATAAATGCCAACTTGTCTACAATTCAATGGGAAAGTTGCTAACAAAAGTACACTTTCCCTTTTCCTCTTTGACCGACTGTAACGTTGAAAAATGTCAACATAGTCAATATTTGTGCTACTCCAGTAAATATTGTATATCAATCAAACAAGTTTGCGATGGAATATCACACTGCACACACGGCGACGATGAAAGTGATTGCGGTAAGAATTTTTCCAGATTTCTCCTGAAAAAAAAAAACACAATTCGCATTCTCCCGTCTTACATTTCATTGCAGAGAATTTTCGACCGAGAGGATACTTTAAATGTCGAAATGAAAAGACTTTTCTACCGATCGACGACGTCTGCAATGGTATTGTTAACTGTCGAAAGGGGAGCGACGAACTCTACTGCAATGTCACTTCTACATGTCCAACATATTGCACTTGTCATAGATTCTACTCGATAGATTGCTCTTTTAAAAATGTTGCTAATCAATTAACAACTGACAAACTTGCAGAGATTCTACTGGAAACCAATCACAAGAGAATAAACCTAATGAATATTGCCGACGGTAATGGAGATCCAACTCTGATTGAATTAAAGGAGAATCTATTCGTTTCATCGCTATCATTCTACGATTGTTCATTAAACAATTTGCAAGTATCAAAAGTTTATCGCAACGTTGTTATCCTATCAATTGTCAAATGTAAATCGTTCAACTACGCTTCCATCTTCGCCTATCCTTTATTAAATTTACAACAATTGACAATCAACAATGCAAACCTGAAATTGAACTCGTTGTCGACATTGAAACATTCATCTCATTTGAGAATAGTCGACTTTTCTTTCTGTAAAATTTCCTTTCTTGGTGAAGGACTTTTTCGTAATTTAGAAAATCTTGAAAGTTTAATTATTAACAATTCTTTTATTGACAATTTCCATTCGAATACTTTTCAATCGCTATCTAATCTGAAAATATTGCTGTTGAGGCAAACTGTGATTCCTCTGAATCGGAAGAGCTCTCTTATAAAGCATCTCTCCTCTCTTCGAGTCTTGTACAGTGAACACTTTTCGTTTTGCTGTTTCTCTTGGAAATTCTCGAATAGAATTGAAAGCTGCTACCCTACAACCTCCATCTTCAACTCTTGTACCGATCTGCTGGCGTCCGAATCTCTAAGATCCACAATATGGATACTCTCTATACTCTCCTTCTTTGAGAATTTTATATCACTTTTATTTAGGGGAGTGGCGAAGAGGAAGCGACGAAATTGGTTCCATTTGAGTTTATCATTCGCCGATCTATGTACATCAATCTATTTGATTATTGTCGGAAGTGTTGACATCTACTACAGGGGTCATTATATTGAATACGACTACGACTGGAGAAATAGCGTAGCCTGCAAAATAATTGGATGGTTTTGCAGTTGGTCAATTATCGTTTCTGTTTTGAGTTTAGTGCTGATAACGGCCGAGAGATATATGATAATTGTATGGCCTTTTAAAAGAATTTTTACCCCATTGCGGTCGGTATGTTTAGTTTTTGGTATATTTTTTATTGCAGCTTTCGTCTCCGTCCTTCCCCTATTCGTATACAACGTAAGTAGAAAGGAGAGAGTCGTCCTACTCTCCTCCCTTTTCATTGTTATTAAATAAAGACGAATCTGCTAATCTTTCTCCCAACAAGGATTATTATTCGAAAAGTCCTGTATGCTTTAATTTACATATTACTAGTGAAAAAGCCCAAGGTTGGATTTTTTCATTCCTGGTTTTCGGCCTACTCGTTTCAATAATATGCCTTCTTATATTTGGCTTATACATAAGCATCTGGAAAGAGAGCTTGTCCGCAAAGCAACTTATCAATAAGAGTCAATTTAAAACTCAACAGAATAAATTGAAATTGAACGCATTCTTTATTGTGACAACAAATTTACTGTGCTGGTTTCCGGTTTCAATGCTAGGTGATTGATGTGTTCAGTCTAGCCTCCTTTCTATATAAAATGTACAATCCTAAAACAAAACTATAACACTACCAATGCTCTTTTTAGGCGTATATTCCGTATTTTTTGAACTAATCATCAAGAAAGATATATATATTGCAATTGTTCTGGTGATACTACCTTTAAATTCAGTGATAAATCCTTTGTTGTACACATTTAGAGATATCAGATCCTACTATATGTCTTTGAAGAGGCAGAGAAGAGAGAATATGTATGTTGTAGTACAACACTAACTTCCTTAATATTCCTTCTCTTCCACTAATTTCTTGCTTGTTTTTTTGTAGACAGAAATGCGTCAACAATGCTGTAGAATCGAACCTAACGAGATGTTTGTTTAGTATTTACAGATGTCTATTCTATTCATAACCCTGTTATTTTACTTCCTCGAGCAGATTTTTTGTACATGACATCTTCCGAACAGAGATTAATCGACGGAAGAGTTTTAATATCATTAGATAAAATCAGAAATATTCGAGGTTTTTACACTTTGACAAATATTTTCAAAGTAGTAAAAGACGTTTGTAAAACATTGCAATTTTCTCATCAATCTGATTTTTCTGTCAATGGAGTTGTTGATTTTCCAAACATTTATATGTTTGTCAGTATTTCTTTACCTAACTGTCTTTTTTTTTCATAAATCCAACAGACATTTTTTTCTTTTGTAGATAAAGAAGACAAGGAAAAGTTTTACAATAATCTCAAAGAGTCTCGTTATTGCAAAAGAGCATAGTCGACCAAAAGATATGTCAGCATTAGGTAATTTTTTAAAGAAAATACTACAAAAAAGATCTTATTACACTTTGAAATCATAAAATATACTGTACTTTATTCTATATTGCAAAAATACGAAAATACACAAATCTTGGTTGAATTCAATAAGTTTGTAAAGGATTTTAACCTAACCCTAACCCAATCAATTTTGGGAAGCAGTCAAACAAAGAATACACCAAAATTGACTTTTAAAACAGATTTTAAGGGATTCAAACTTACCAAATAAAAATCAATGTAAGGAAGTAGCAAATTGGAATAAAAGAATGAACAGGCCTATTGTACCCAAAATTAATATGACTATTATTCCTTCTGAATTTTTGGGGTGAGATTTTGGGTTAGGAATGGGTCAGGAAAAATATTCCAGTAATTGATTTGAATTAGGTGGGTCCAAACTAAGGGTTGGTAACAATGAAACCCTTAAAAGAGGGTCCAGAGCTAGGGTCGGGTTAGGTTAAAAACACCAAACTGTGGGCGTTTTCAACAACATCCATATTTTAATACCTTATAGCAAAAACTATGGATTAATTGTGTTTTTTTTTCTAAAATTCAGTTTTAGTAATTATACCTAGAAAAATGGAGTTTGTTAAAAAGGAGTCACTATTTATCAAATCAAAAATTAGGGGCTATACCTATACTGCATTTACAATAGTATTGTGTGTACCTAGTCCACAATACTATTGATAGGCTTTCATATTAAATATTTAATATTTGTCATTTCCAATCATTTACTAATTTACTTAAGTACTAGTTCAAATACAACCTCAAGTTTCTCCACAAAATACTAACCTTTTATAATGAATTCAATGTATTAAAGTAAGTAACATCAGAGTTTTGCCAATAGAATATGTATTGAGTAAATCAGTTCCAACCCACAAGTACAGTTTAATCTGCATTTAAAGATTAGAGACTGACAAGTTTTGTAAGATAAAATGCTTACAGGAGAGATTTCATCCCTGGAGATTTTGTGCAAAGCTGGAAATTAATTTATTAATTTAAGCACTGGAGATACTCCAGAAATGGGATAAAATGTCGAGAAAATTAGGTTTGCAAAGGTTTTTTTTTTTTGATTAAATCAAAAAAGAGAAACAGAATTCTCACATTTCAAGAGTCCCACATGATTTTGGGAAGCAGTCAAACAAAAAATACACCAAAATTGACATTTAAAACAATTTCCAATAGAAAAAATTTTTTCAAAAAATTTTCAAAAAATTTTTTTCTGAATTTTGTAATAATTTCCTACCTACTCAACCTACCACGGTTTCGTCCTCCTCTCTATTTTTATGACCAAGGACTCATCAGGGTCTATTAACCTACACCTACAGAGAGGTTGAAGGATTCCAATAGGGAATTCACTTCTTCAGGTTTTTTTTTAATATATATCATATTGAAAGTGCTATGTATTATGATACTGTATATCAGAATTTGTACATACCATTTTAAAATCATCAGCAATTGTAGGGGATGTTCATTTAACTGGGTATTTTAAATGTGATTTTGACTCCTTATTCTTCAAACTAAATATGAACCATGTGAATAAAACATTCAAAATATATATAACACACTTTCCTGTTGAATGACATATCTACATACCATTCTATCATTGAAGGATGTATATTTTGAAAGGAATTGTAGAAGTTGTTCATAAGACCAGCTATTTTTAATGTGATGTTGACTCCTTATTCTTCAAACTGTAAATGATTTCTGTGAAAACATATTCACCTTATATATAAGACACATGGAAAATCCTGTGGGAACATGCCACAAGCTAATCCAGCTTAGATAAAATTATATAATGCTAACAGATATGTGTCAGCATGAAATTAGTAAACTGTGAGAAAACTGATAATCTAACAAAGTCTGTGTGTGAGAACTTACTGTAATAGTTCAATGCAATAGAAAATTGAAATTACTGTTTAGAAATATATTCCTTATATTAATTCAATATATCCTATTTAAAATATAATAATTTTTATAATGAATTTTATAAGGAAAATGCACTAAACTTCACAGCAAGATAGGTTGAAAAATAAAAAGGATAATTAAATTCAGTAAAAAGATTTGAGATAAGGAAGTCAATATTAGTATAAGTACAAAATTCAAAGCTCTATCATAATTAATAATAAATCTAGTTTTTTCCTGACAAATATTTTAAGGTTTACAACAGAGTTTATATATAGTGTTCCTTAGAATCCATATCTTAGCAACTACTTGGCCTATTTTGATGAAATTTTCACCAAAATTATTGTCAGAAAAAATATATACAATTAGAAAGACAATCTGTACATTTATTAAGTATTTCTCATTTAAAAAATATTAATTAGAATGCTTAATTATATAAGGAAACTGCATTAAAATTTAATGCACCATAGCTCCCAAACTATAGGAGATATTTGAATTCTGTAAAAAGATTTGCAATCAGCATATCCATATTGGTTTATGTGCAAAATTTGAAAGCTCTATGATAATTAATAAGTAATTTAGGTTTTTGATGACGAATATTTTAATGTTACAAGCAGAGTGTATATATAACATTCATAGGAATCCATATCTCAGCAACTACTTAGCTGATTGTGATGAAATTTGAAGTGAAATTAATGACAGAATGAGACTAAATTAAATTACAATCAATTGAAACTGTAAAGTTAATTGAAAGAAAAGTATTAGTAATTTTTTAAAAAAATAATTTATTTAAAAAAGA